CTGGAAACATAAATCTGGAGTAAAATTAGAGCAATAAGGAATTCATTTATTGCTACGCACTTTCCGTTTTTTTTTTAAAGTATCATTTCAGACCCATTGGTGACCACAAGTGTAGGTGAAGTAAAGTTCCTTTACAGTTCACCCCGGCCGTCACCGTTAGTTATCAGGATCCATTCCTTTTCCGAGTCGAGACGTCTAGAAGACGTCTAGAACCGCTGCCAATCAAAACGTGTTCCTGCCGTCCGTAAAAAAAAAATATTGTATTCGACGTTCCAGAGTTTCAGTTAATATTTTTGGCGCTTGTCGATAGGCTAGATATACCTGTTTTCCAACACACATCTGTAATAACAACACATCAACTCCAAAACCCAACCATAACACCAACCATACACTTGATGCAAGGCGTTATCATAAACCTAATATCAAGGGTTCAGCTATAATTATCTACAATACCAGGCCTACGGCTGTTCGGGTACGGCTAATCAATACGAACCATAGCTGTATTTTATGTTCGAACAAGCATTAAAGAAGCGACACATCAAAGTATAGCAATTAAGTAAGCTAGATAACAAGAGACCTAGTCCTTACCGTAGATGGTTAGTGTTGTAGTCATCACCAGTTTTTCATTCAGCCTCTATCTGAGAAGTGGGTAGTGGAGTGCCCCCCGCTCCCACCCCAGAAAGAAATCGAAAGATTTAAATAATATAGGTCTATGTAGGAATATACATGCTTTAACCAGCGTCCGTCTCCGGAAGTTTCAAGAGACCCCCCCCCTACACACCACACTAGCTGTACCGGTGTTAGTGTTATATCATCGTACTACAAAATACATACCGGTGGTGTGTCTGTTAATGTTATAACATCACACTGCAGGCTACCCCCCCCCACACACACACACACATAAACAATACAGATGGTTACTTAACCCCCCCCCCCACCCCATGTGTGTTCTTGACATCAAATTCGACTTACGGGCACGAGTTCAGTCAGAGTTTATTCCAGGCATCTCTTCGGCGGGGGGCGAAGCCCCCCCCCCCCGAAAAAATTTACCGCCCCCCCCCCCCCCCCCCCCCCCCGAACGAAATGAAATTTATATAATTTATATAGAAAATATACACTTTTAACAGTGTCCGCCCCCCCCCCGAATAAAGTCTACCGCCCCCCCCCCCCCCCCCCCGAAAATTTCAAGTGCCCCCCCGGAGAAAAAAAAGTCTGGAAGAAACACTGGAGTTCAGTCCATAGAAGTAAGATTAGGACGTCCCAGAGTCCACCTAGCTCTGATGGTATTCTTCTTCGGACAAAGTAAAGGATTCTATGCTGGGTACTACTGCACTATCCATTCATATATATATATATATATATATATATATATATATATATATATATATATATATATATATATATATATATATATATATATATATATATATATATATATATATATATATATATATATATATATATATATTATATATATATATATATATATATATATTATAGTGAAGTTGAGAGAAATAAATACACTCTCCTTCACCTGCCCCTGAAACAGTATGTCCTTAACGTTGAAAAGGCAACTTTTTTTATATACAAGCCCCACCAAAATTGTACTTTTAGTATGTGGAATCTAAAGCTGTTGTGCAGTGGCCAGTTTAAACATTCCAGACTGTCATGAAATCTGCTTGACGTGTTGATGTCAGCTGACAAAATGGCACCCATGGTGGCACCGTTTTGATGAGGTACTAAGTAGATCGAACTGCCCCGTGTAGCAGTTGAAGTAGAGTATGTTTCTTCGACCTTGTAGTAACTTAAAGTGACTGTGGTTGGCACTGTCTTCCTCTATGATCATGTACCCATAAGAGCTGGGTGGACCCGTAATCTGAATATTTTTCACTAATTAAAACATTACGCGCTAATTAGAGCATAAACCTTGTAATTAATATATAAGGCACCCCTAATTACAGTATAGCACCGCTAATTATGGTACATGAGTACGGTGTGGTCGAGTAATAGAACTAACGACTACCAAACCGAAATTCTCAAGGTCGTCTTTAACACGTACCTGAGTCAACTCAGCTATGATGAGTACCTGGACTCATATTAATATTAGGAAAACTAAGGCGGCTTGAAATAGCGCTGACCACACTATCCACCAGTGTGTTGAGGTCATTGAAACAGATGAACTCTACTTCATCTGCCCTTTTTGTCTTGAGCACGAACGGTAAAAGATGTCGATGAATTGGGATATTGAGCCCCACTCCTATTTCTGAGGCATAACCAGGCACCTTCTACTTCTTGTGAAACGTCAATTAAAATTATAATGTAAAGCAGTCTTTGATGTTTTCATAAATACCTCCAAAAACTAGCTTTTTACACACCGTTTTAATGAGCACTTTCAACACAGCTTTTTTTTCAAGACTCTTTGATGTAGTAACATTACACTTTGATTATTTAATAAGTGGGTTGCCGGGTGTCCAGTTTTGAACTGGACAGTCCAGTATTTGAGCAGACTGTCCAGGATAAAATAAATATAAATACTGGACAAGTATATGAATAATACTCTGTTACCCCCCTTCTTCTGCTTTGCGGCATACCTGAGAAGGGAAGGATGGAAAGGTGTCCAGTATTTTCGGAAAAGGTATCTGGCAACCCTATTAGACAAGTTGACTAATGTTCCCTCAATTTTGTGAGACAAGAAAAAAAAATATTTCACGAAACAGCTCTTTGCTTTTAGAAGCTTAAATACAGTGTTAGCGGGATTTAGATCTTTTGGGCTTTAGATTGTTGTCCTAACCTATCTTTGACATTTGCATGTGTCATTAGGCTCGATGACTTTGGCATTTGCCTGTGTCATTAGACCCTATGACTTTGACATTTGCATATGTCATTAGGCCCGATTATTTTGACATTTGCATATGTCATTAGGCCCAATGTCAAGCCATGACATCGAGCTTATCCCCGGCTTAAACTAGAAACCAGAGTAATGACATTCTATGCCGACGAACAAAACCTAACCTCTAAACCAAACTCCAGCACTTGACCTGTACCTTAACCCTTGACCTTAACCCCAACACCAGGCAAAACTTTGACGCGCCATGACCAGCCCTCCAGACGTGTGACCCACGGGCGTGTAATTCCCGGCACCCACACTCAACACGCGCGGAGCAACAATATTCAAACGCAAACAAAAACATCATATTTAGGTCGCCCCGAGTCCCACCACGAAGGGGCCGACTTGCAGCCTTGACCTTTACTTTGGGAGGAGGGGCTGCTTTTCGGCTTGATTCACTCTGACCTCATTTTACTTTTTAAAAAATTTACCTGTGCTCTGTGTGTAGCGTAGGGTGCCCGGATCTCTAGGCTAGGCCTACGTATTTATTATTTCCATGCACAACAAAATGGCCGCCGGAAGTTCCTGTGTTTAGAAAGAAAGTTGGTTAAAATTTTCAACGTGATGTTACGCGTTGGTTTGGATGTGTTAACAAGTAATTACGACTGTATGTGGTGTAGAGTATGTTCGTAACGTATGTGATAAATTTAATTTAGGTTTGAGAGTAAGGAACGAGTTTTTATTCGCGAAAATATATTTTTTTCAGTTCGTGGTCGAAACAAATTTGAAAATTATAAAGTTTACATTTGTATTGCCGCTGTTTTAAAGTGTTAAATTTAGTTTTACCATAGTTAATAGAGAGCTATAGACTGTTACTAAATCTAGTATTAATGTAATTATAGACTATACTCTAATGTAGTTTTGTGTAACTCGGATTGGTAAATTTCCCGGTATACAGACTACGAGGCTGTCTACTTTCTTTGTCTGGGCTACTTACAGCATCTAGACTAGATCTAGACTAGTATTTCAGTAGACTACCTTTGTGGGCTAGTTTTTCATTTTTCTAAGCCGGTTTCTATTTTTTTAGATTTTGTAGTCCTAAATGAAAATGTAAACATTGTTGTGTATCTTTTATAATGCACTTGTTAATTAACACTTAATTAATGAGGTACACGTGTAGTGCTTTACTTGAACTTCATTTTCAAGTTTTGGCTAACTCATTTAGTCTACATAGTGCATAGGTTTCTTCAGGGAAAGGGGGAAATTACGCAGTTTATTTACTTTCGCACATGTTGGCGTTTCCAAGGTAACGGTTGGTCTGTTTATTGCAGCACTACCTTGATGAATCTATTACAATCTTGGTCTATAATTTTCTAACAACCTTTTTTTTTCTTAATTTTTTTTTGCCGGTAACAGTGTTAGTTGTGCAATTGATTACGTAAATTTTAATTATATAAAAAAATGCAAAATGTTAACGAAATCGATTCTGTTATTTTCTACTTTCATTTGGTACAGAATATTTAAACCATATCGTGTTGGAATGTAAAACTCTTGGTGTTAAAAGTGATTCTTTTAAACTCATATTTGTCTGAACTCTCACTCTTTTGAAGTCTTGAATTTTTGTGGACAAAGAGAACTAGGCTAGTACTTTCTATTTTTAGAAAACCCACGTGACAATGTAGGTTTCCAGCTACACAAGAGAGGGTAACTCTAGTTTTGTTTAATTTTCTGGACAAGACCGGTCTGTCATAACAACACTCGTAACAACAGACAATGGTATAAGTGTCGTTTTACTGTGTGGCCCCCATGGCCAGCGTGTCATGACCCGAATGGCCAACAAGGCCACCCTGTCATAGATCTCTCACAAACAATCTTGCTACAGAGAACATAGCCAGTGTTGATTTGCTTCATGGCCATTATCGTGGACACAGAACTTTAACTGCCATTCAAAACAAGAGTGCACGGCTGTTTTTTTTTTCCTTTTGTTACTCACAAGGGACGCAGGATTGTAATTCACATTCACCTGCAAACAAGGATATTGTCCCGGTATTTGGTTTGTGACCCGGACGGTCCAAGAACTCCAACCCACTTTCACTAAACAAACATCAAGTTCCTGGTTTGACTGACCCCCCCCCCCCCCTCCACCCCCATGACCGTTAAGTCATAACACTCACACCCCCACCCCAACATGAATTTCTTCCTGGACATTTTCTACCCGGAGAAGAGACGCCGGGAGAAGGAGCAGCGAGAACGGCGAAGCCACGCCTGCGCCGAGCCCGACCCCCGCGCCCCAGCCTCCTACCCCCTCAACGGCAACCTCTACGTCCACGGGGGCCTGGACTACACCAGCGACGGCTACATGTCCTACGGCGGCAAGAGCCAGCGGTCAATGAACTGCTACGACAACGCCGTCGGCTACAACAGCGACGGCTACGTGTGTAATTTTAACAACCGGACCGGCTACCCCATCTACAATCCAGCTGAAAGTACTAGCCATTTATCCCGTTTGAGCCACGGGCACAGGACTAGTAGTAATAACGTGCATAATAATAATAATAATAATAATAATAACAGTAATAATAATGGCAGAGGTGAAACAGTGACAAGACATTCAAGGCGTCTCAACGCCGTCCATCCAGCCCTGCATACACAAAACTCATTCTCCAAAGATGCAGGAGTTCCCAGGAGTGCAGGTTCGAGACCCAGTCACGGAACCGGCTTTCCCGGCATGTTCGGAAGGACACGGTCAAGAACGTTGGTGTTTCCGTTCCGCAGGGAGAGAGGTTCGTTCTGGGGGACGTTCCGGCTCAAGTATGACCCGCGGCTACTCCAGGCAAAGGACGAGCGGACGCGCTGGGAGATGGCCATGCTGTACTGCTGGAATAGTGAGTATTACGTCATTTCCGTGGTGGGTGGGAGGTCATTTTAGTAATGGATGTGATGTCATTTTGGTAAGTGTGTGATGTACTTCGATAAGGGGTGTGCTGTTAGAACGTCAATTTAAAAGGAGGTTTACGGCATTTCCTTCCTTTGAAAAGGCTACTAATTTCGTTTCCGGTGCAAGGTTATTTCAAACGAGTATGCCATTTTAGTAGGGGATGTAATATATTTTCTTGAATGCATATAATGGAATTATTACGATATGAATTGAAAAACGAATGAGATTTTAAACATTTGATAAAGTTTGTAAAATTTGTAAGTTTTATTCCTGCTACTTTTAAAAAAAAACTTTTTTTTCCTGATCAGTTTAAACTTCGCACACAACATGCATGACTGTGTGGATTATATTCCAGGTCGGTATTCGGGATGTTTAGTCGTATATAAACATGCCTGAATCAAAACAATTTTTAAAATAAGTTTTTTTGTACTCTTAAGAAATAGACAATTTTTCTTGAATTGTCTACATATGTCGTTAGTCAAAAAGCTGAGGTTGAAATGTCAGCTAACTCCACTCTAAAACACGTTAGTATGTAAATCAGCGTATCAGAAACTCATTATTTTTGCAAAGAGACCACGATATAATCCCGCCACAACATTAACACGCCACAATTTACACGTTTCAAACGAGCACACTAGATATGTAAACTAGTAAAACCCGCTGGTTAATGAACACACCACAATAAAACAGATCAAATGTACACACACCACGGGCGCGTAGAGGCGCCGGAGAGGGGGCTTGGGGGGGGGGGGGGGTTGTCGGCTCCTTGCACATGCCCACAAATCAAATTTAACACCAATATGCTTTTGGTAAACAAAAGAAAACTGTATTTATGTATTCTAAATTCACTTTAACTAACTGCTAACAGCAGTGCTCGTGTTTATTCAAGGTCAAAACTGCTCAACTGGAAACCAAATCACAATACTTTTTTTTTTCTTTTTTTCGAATAAAATAGACGGTATGCGTCAAACGAGCTATAATGGAAGCAAAGTGAAATGATCCGAACGTGTCGTGATATTTGTGTCCAAGCAACAAATTATATGTATGATATATATGATTAGAGGAAATACATTTAAACTCAGAATAAAAACATTAAACGATAAAATGTTAGTGAATTTATATTGGAAGTTTTAAAATAATTTTCTCAAAAGTGTATTTCGAATGGTTGGCTAAATAAATTGACACTCATGGCTTTGTACTCATTAGCTTCATATAAAACGATGTAGATCTAGCAGTCAAATGCTGTGATTCCGTTGTTGTTGGTTTTTTTTTAAATCACTTGTCGATTTCTTTAAACATTGGAGCTACGAGAAACTGTTTTTTGATTCCCAACTCTGATAGGTAACTTACTCATATTATGGAAGTCGACTGGGCATAGTGCTGACCACATTATATCTTCATATGCGGATGTCACAAACAAGTGAACTCTACTTTACTTGCCGCATAGACCGTCAGGTTTGAAATGGAACTTTACAGCAGCTATAATGAATTTGAAAAGCTATATTTGTACCCTTATACACTTGTGCTTAACTTAAATACACAGCCCAATCGTCTTTTACAGTGAACTAAATGTTTTCTGCTGAAGCTTTTTTTATCGTTTGTCCTACGCAACAGGTGTGATAGAATTATAGACATTCAAACAACAACAGCAGTTGTTTGTTTAGTAACAGTAACAAATGTTTACAGCGCAAAATTTTAATGTGGCAAATGCAGGTGGAGGGGTTCGAGAAATGTGTGGTGTGGGTGGGGGGAGGGATTCGAGAACGGTTTTTGTTGTTGGGGGGGGGGGGGGGTGAAATCTTAAAATCCATATCGATCAAGATAAAAGATGGAGACTAGGCCTAATACCAAAAAAAAAATGAAAATAGTAAGGAAAGCATGGAGGGATGTTGAAAAGGGCGTTGAAGAAGAGGTGGATGGGGGGGGGGGGGGAGATCTCTATAGAAATGTTATGTAACGTTATATTGTAACTGCAACCCTCTGCTTCCCGGGAGCTACAAAGGAAAAATGAATGATGATATTGTAAGAGGTTAAGTAAATTTGTTCAGTTGTGTGTGTTGTTTAATGTGTACAACTCATAACGTGTCACTAGTGACGGCATGAGTCATTACGGGCACTAGAGTGTCACCATTCATCACTAGTTTTGATGAGTCACTACGTGTCACCAGTCACCACGAGTATTGACATGAGTCACTACGTGTCACCAGTCACCACGAGTATTGGCATGAGTCACTATGTATCACCAGTTACCTTTTGTTTTGACATGAGTCACTACGTATCACCAGTCACCACGAGTATTGGCATGAGTCACTATGTATCACCAGTTACCTTTTGTTTTAACATGAGTCACTACCGGTCCTACTGGATATCTGTTCTGTTGTTTTTTGTTGTTGTTTTTTTTTCAAAAAAGAATTTTTAATGAAACACTGTAAATAGTATAATTTGAGCTACTTCGATTTTTTTTAAAAATGTAATCAGTGCAACAAAATGTAAATGACCATTCATTATACACGTGATACACATCTTTTTATTATTTAATCAAAATCTCACGTAGAAATGTCAACATATAACATAGTGAATCAAATTCGGGTAGGCTACTTTAATCCTATAACAACTGACCTTACCTGTGCCTTTTTTATAGGGAGCTGTACCTATGCTCGCCCTAACCCCATCTTTAATAAAACTAGGTGTGACCCTAATCTTTATTCAAACTCTAATTAACCCTACAAGTTATAATTGAAGGGAAACCCCCTATTCGATACAAACTATCCCGCCGAAGTATATTCATAAAGCCCTAAACTTTTACGCAACTTTTGATGTGTAAAATACGCGCGTTTAAAACTATTTGATGGTGCGAAATTGTGTTGCTAAAATGGTTTGCGTGTCCTATTATACGGAAACGTAGAACAACCGCCACATGACGATTCTAAAATACACATTCCTGTTATACAGGAGATAGAAGAAATATTTTCATTATAGTCCTATGGTCGAAATTTCAGCGGATCGCTTGAAAAATGAGAAAAGGCACCGGTTTTACGCACCGTCAGTAAAAATTGCGCATTTTGACCGCGCATCAGCTTATTTTATCAAATGGGCCCCGCGTTTTAAACGGAAGTTGTACTGATAGCGCTTGACAGTGATAGAACGAACATATCTTTGGTTGAGTGGTGGATTCGTAAATTTTTGATGACACCCTGCACTGCACACCCTCGTTCACATGCTATCTTTGTGCTGCGGCGGCGGTAATCCCAATAAGCCCAGAAAATCTACGACTCAGTCCAACACGGCGAACGAGAGCGGTTCACCCATGTCCACCTTGAGCCCCCAATACGAGGAATGGCGTAAGGATACTATTTTTAGATCTAAACTTGTCTAGATCTAGTACTATTATTAGAAAGTATACAAATTAAAATCAGTTTTACCTTTTTTTTTTAAATTGACACTGTCAAAATTGGCGTATTTTTAAATATAAATTAGACTAGATCTAGACTAGTATACGCCTATGAACGATTGTTGTTGTTTCTTCATAAATGTAGGTAGATCTAGATATACATGTCAAACTAGTGTAGATCTAGATCTAATCTAGAAGCTAATTTAATGCGACACTTTTTTTTTTACATAAATGTAGATATGTGTATGAATTAAGACACGTCAAATTATTTATATACGCTGCTGTCTCATGGGTACAGTTGTAAAACTTTATTTTTAGAAACCTTTAGAAAACACATCATACAACGACTGTGTAAAACTACTAAGAAATTATCCTTTTTTTTTAAAAATATAAATTTGTATTCGACTTCAGGACTCTGACCAGTTAATTTAGCACAAAGGTAAACGTAAAAAAATGCTTCATCCTGTCTTTCAATAGTCTAAGTCTAAGCGAAACCTAATTAATTCCATGTTTCCTGGTATAGCCTTATAGAAGTTGTTTGCTCATACCACAATGCTAGTCCCAACCCTTAACTAGGTAACTTGCAAAATTCGAGAGATACGATTGCTCATACTACTATGCAAGTCCCAACCCTTAACTGCGATACTTGCAAAATACGAGCGATACGATTGCTCATACCACAATGCTAGTCCCAACCCTTAACTAGGTAACTTGCAAAATTCGAGAGATACGATTGCTCATACTACTATGCAAGTCCCAACCCTTAACTGCGATACTTGCAAAATACGAGCGATACGATTGCTCATACCACTATGCTAGTCCCAACCCTTAACTGCGATACTTGCAAAATACGTGCGATACGATTGCTCATACCACTATGCTAGTCCCAACCCTTGACTGCGATACTTGCAAAATACGAGCGATACTATTATATCGCATACCGGGGACGTATCAGACCTGTCATTACATAAGAATACATTTCTGTCAGACATTTGTAATTTGGTCCACTCTGAGACTCATTTGGTGCGCGCGATTCCAAGTTCGAATACTAACAGTATCGAGTTCTAGAGACCCGAGCTTAAGTTGGGAAAGAATTTTGTTTTAAAAGCAGTCAGTGTTTCTTCCAGACTTTTTTCTCCGGGGGTGCACTTGAAATTTTCGGGGAGGGGGGGGCGGATTCAAATTTCCGGGGGGGGGGGGGGACACGACACACACACTGTTAAAACTATATATTTTCTATATAAATTCAATTTCGTTCGGAGTGGGGGGGGGGGGGAGGCGGTAGACTTCCTTCGGAGGTGGGAGGGGACTCCAGAAGAAATGCCTGAAAGAAACTCTGAAAGCAGTACACTCTACTGGCCACACGATCGCCTTGTATTTGATAGCTCTATAAATAGACAGAGTCTATGGCTCGGACATCGCTGGGTTATTACTTTTACGATGCGCATTAATACATTTGCAATAAGAAACGGTATATTTTGCTAATATCTACCTGTTGTCTGTCTAAAATTATTCAACCTTGACCTGCCCCAGTTGGCCTTAACTCGTTAACTCAC